GCTATGTATTACAAGAGCTCGCACGCACGGACATTTACCTTGAACGGAGGCAATCATGATGACGTCATGAGTTAATTGAGGGTTCGAACGGACTTTACCTTGAACGGACGCTCATTTCGTTATTAATGGTCATAAAGAGATAAACATGGTATCAAATTGTTTGGAATAAATTGGGCAATACTATGATAGACAAAAAAAGGCAATTCCCGGTTGCGTACGACCATTACGAACACAAACGTGCGCGCAAATTTATGCTTGCGAAAATTTTCGAAATTTTCGAAATGCTTGAAATGGCCTAAAACGTACTCTAATTGGATTAAAAAGTGATTATGAGCATTTTTTATTTTTACGCGCACCAACGTACGAACGTACGCGTACGCGCGCGTTTATTGACCTCAAGTTGACCGGACGGATATTGACCTTAATCGTTATAAATATGAATGAGAAATGATTTACGGTTATGAAGATATGATCATGAGTTGATTTTCAGAGTACTTCACAAAATGGCGCCTGGATGACGTCACGATATTTTAATGAACTTGAAAATATTCCTGTCACGTCTTAAGATGATGACCTCTGACTGTGTCAAATTTGAAAGAAATTGGACGGTTCAATTTTGAGTAATCGTGCACACAAAATAGTGGTCACAAATTTATTTTAATTGAATTGTGTTTTTGTACAAATTCAATTAAAATACTAGAAATTTAATTCGTCATGGGGACGAATTAGGTGGTCTGTCTTCATGAAGTACTGATGAACTGATGAACTGATAGATTAAACTGATGTGAAATGAACTGAATTCATGAGCTAAACGGATAAACTTATGAACTGAACTAAACTGATGAGCTAAACTGATGAACGAAATATTTAGAAATTATAATGATTGTTGATCGTGATTAAATTTAATGGGAAAAAATATCAAAATAAGTAGGCCTAATGAATATGACACAAAGTATTGAGAAATTAACTACTTGATCATGATCATGATTGTCATGATGACGATAATGAAAATGATGATGATGATGATCATGAGCGTGATCTTGACATCTGATTGCAAAAAAAGTGAGGGGATATTTATAAAGCATATAGTCTCAGCTACAACATGCTTAAAAATCAACAAAAATCAAGCTGAAATAACGGCGATATTGCTCGCAAAAAGTAATGGATCAAGTGATAATAGGGTAATAATAAAGTAAATATGGTTGTTTATTACATTATTTGCGGTTGTACGTGTTTTAATATTCAAAGGAGATGGTACAGTAAAAGGTCAAAAAAAAAGTGAAGAAAAAAATTGTTGGAGACGCCCAGACTCGAACCAGGGACCTCGAGGTCGGAAGTCAAGTGCATTACCGGTAGACTAAAACATTTCCCATAGAGAGTACACGTAAAAGAAAGATTGATTTCTCAAATCCCACTTTGTAAGTGAAATATGAGCATGATCCCGGCATCTGATCGAGAAATAAATGGCACACTTGTGATAGCTCATTGTCTCAGCTACAACATACTCAAAGCTCAGCGTAAACGAAAATAAAACGACGGAGATATTGCTCGCGAGAGACAAGAATCATCATCATTAAGACAATGATGATGATCATGAGCGTGATCCTCGAATCCTATTGGAAGAATGTGGGGTGATTTAGATAACATATAGTCTCAGCTACAACATACTCGAAAATCAACATAATCCAAGCAGAAATAATGTCGATATATTGCTCGCAAAAGAGAGGAATGTAGAATCCAGATTTTAGAAAAAGTCATGTCCCATAGAGAATACACGCAAAATGTGAAAAATTGACATGCCTCCTTTAATCGCAAAAATACGCCATGATGCTTTTGTCAAAATGAAAAATCGTGGCAACGACATTTGTTGAAAATTGTCTCAGCTAAAACATATCAAAATTTGGAAGAAAATTAATCAACATTTACAGAAATACAATCAATTTTCCAAAAATATGCTGACGAATTTTCGATACACTGCAATCAGTTTGCCTAGGGTGTGATTGTTACGTCACAATGGAGTTCGGGCATAGTGCGCATTTTGTTATACACGTAATATACATTGTCATTGTCACCAGCAGCTGGTGCGCGATGAAATGTACAACTGGGTCAATTATTGCTCACTAGTTTCACACGCATTTTGCCGTTGACTTTTCAGATCGAGCCATAATATTTTTTTCTATACAGTTAATAATGTATTTCGTATAGGCATGTTTTTGCCCATATATGCTATGTATTACAAGAGCTCGCACGCACAGACGTTTACCTTAAACTGACGCTCATTTCGTTATTAATGGTCATAAAGAGATAAACATGGTATCAAATTGTTCGGAATAAAATGGGCAATACTATGATAGACAAAAAAGGCGATTCTGGGTTGCGTAAGACCATTACGAACACAAACGCGCGCGCAAATTTATGCGCGCGCAAAGGTGTGCCCACGCAAAAATCTCGAAATGCTTGAAATGGCCTAAAACGTACTCTAATTTGATCAAAAAGTGATTATGAGCATTTTTTATTTTTGCGCGCACCGACGCGCGGACGGACGCGTACGCGCGCGTTTATTGACCTTAAGTTGACCGGATGTATATTGACCATAATTGTTATAAATATGAATGAGAAAGGATTTACGGTTATGAAGATATGATCATGAGTTGATTCTCAGAGCACTTCACAAAATGGCACCTGGATGACGTCACGATATATTGATGAACTTGAAAATGTTCCTGTCACGTCTTAAGATGATGACCAATGACTGTGTTAAATTTGAAAGAAATTGGACGGTTCAATTTTGAGTAATCGTGCACACAAAAGAGTGGTCACAAATTTATTTTAATTGAATTGTGTTTTTGTACAAATTCAATTAAAATACTAGAATTTAATTCGTCACGAAGACGAATAAGGTGGTCTGCCTTCAAGTTATATAAACATGTAAATAATGATGATCATCATGATGATCATGATGATGATGATCTTGATAGTAATGGTGATGACGATGATGATGATGATCATGATCATGATGATGTTATGATTATCAACAGACCATGATGACATCAGACTGAAAAAAATGAGAGAACATTTAGATAGTATAAGTCTCAGCTACAACATACTAAAAAATCAACAAAAATCAAGCCGAAATAACGGCGATATTGCTTGCAAAAGACAAGAATGTAGAATCCAGATTTGAGAAAAAGTCATCTCCCATAAGGATTACACGCAAAAAGTAATGGATCAAGTGATAATAGGGTAATAATAAAGTAAATATGGTTGTTTATTACATTATTTGCGATTGTACGTGTTAATATTCAAAGGAGATGGTACAGTGAAAGGTCAAAAAGAAAAAGAAAGGGAAGAAGAAAAACTGTTGGAGACGCCCGTGATTATGATGATGATATATTGATGATGATCATGATCATACTGACATCTGACTGAAAAAATGAGGGAGACATTTAGATAGCGTATAGTCTCAGCTACGTACAACATACTCAAAAATCAACAAAAACCAAGTGGAAATAACAGCGATATTGCTCGCAAAAGAACGGAATGTAGAATCCAGATTTGAGAAAAAGTCATCTCCCATATAGAGAAATTATATTGACATGTACATGTAAACAATGATGATCATAATGATGATGAAGATGATGATCTTGATAGTAATGGTGATGATGATGATGATGATTATAATGATAATGTTAATGATGATGATGATGATGTTGATGATCATGATCATGATCCTGATGATTTTGATGATGATCATCGTCAGACCATATGATGATGATGATCATGATGATATTGATGATAATCATGATGATAGTGATCGATGATGATCATTCATGAGCGTGATTCTGACATCTGATTGAAAAAATGAGGGGACATTTAGATAACATATAGTCTCAGCTACAACATATACTCAAACATCAACAAAAACCAAGCAGAAATAATGGCGATATTGCTCGCCAAAGACAGGAATGTAGAATCCAGATTTCAGACCATGATGATGATCATCATCATCATTATGATAACGATGATCATGAGCGTGATCGATCCTGACATCTGATTGAAAAAATGAGGGGACATTTAGATAACATATAGTCTCAGCTACAACATACTCAAAAATCAACAAAAACCTAGCAGAAATAATGGCGATATTGCTCGCAAAAGACAGGAATGTAGAATCCAGATTTCAGGAAAAGTCACCTTCGATAGGCATGACACGCAAATTACGAAAATTCTGACATGTCGCATTTAATCGAAATTTTCACTATGATGACGTCATCAAAATGAAAAATGGTGAGACATAAATAAAGAGAAGGAAAGAGGAAGACGGTCCGTTATAGTCATGTAAAAATACATGAGCTGGACAGAGGGATGAAAGATCGAGGAATCAGAAATGCGCATGTCTTGGAAGGAGAGAGGATGTAGCGGGAGGATAAGGAAATGGTGGTAGGTATACGTACGTGAAATAAGAATACAAAGCTAGCCAAAGCTAGGCAACGGAAAGAGCTAGAGAAAATTAGGAGCAATGGAATAAGGCCAAAAAAAAAAAAAAAAACATGTTTAGCGTCCTGTTTTTTGGAAAAATAGGAAGGAGGAGGCCCTTTTTCTTTCTTTTTTCTTTCAAAATGGCCGCTCAAAATTGCCGCTCGGTACATTTTCCCTGTCAGTCGGGCTACTTTTCAAGATGGCCGCCGAGATTTTATGTTTTTTTTTCTATAAAAAAAAAAAAATCAAAAAAAAAAATAATAATAATAAAAAAAAAAAAAAAAAACAAATTATAGGAGGCGGCCCCCAAAAAGGAAGCGGGCGGGGACGCTAAACATGTATATTCTTTTTACATGGCCTAAACGACAAGGTATCAGATATCCATTGTTTTGACATTCCTTTTCCCTTATAACACGCAAAATCATGCATTTCGTGAGAAATTATATGCGCGAGAAATATACTGGGCGAATTGTCTGTAGGGCGAATTTAATCTGACCAAGATATTGGCCGATTCGAATTGCATGCACACTCATGATCATGGTCATATGAGTTGCTGAGTACTGCTAGCTGTTTAGACTAGTTGTGTTGTTGTGCTGATTGCTAGCTTAGTTTTGGTAAGAATTCGGTTGTTGCTATTAATTGTATTCAGAGATTTTGCGTTATCGCATAAGTGTGTGAGTGTATTTAAACTTTTAAAGGCATTGACTTTGTTTATAATAATGTTTGCAGTTTTAAAAATCAAGTCTGAGATGCGATACATCTTACGTAGTATAGACCTACATGTAGATCTGCGTGTTATCATATCAGCTCAGTGAGTGCATGTGATTGTAATTGAATTTTGAAGCCCTACGAAAAACGAAAAGGAAGTGTTTCAAACTGACTTTGAGTGACCGGTTTTACCATACTCATTTCTCCCAATAGACTGTAGAGTGTAGACCTAGTCTAGATCTAGACCTGTTTCTAGATCTAGATCTAAGTCAGTGTTATAAATTAAAAACCATAAGTCGGTAGGGATCTAGGCCTACTACTACTAGATCTAGATACTATATCTGACTATAGGCCTAGATCATAGATCTAGACTAGACCTAGATCTAGATCTAGTCTAGATTTCTAGATCTATTAATTTCTAATTCCAATCATGAATATCTTGATAGTTGATAATTAGACAGGTCACAGCTGACAGGCGATCGGCTTGTAAAAGTCATGGGATAATATTTATCCCCTCGCCAAAGTCAAAGAAGGAGGGGATCTAGACCCCTGTATTATGCTGCTCGCTGTCGAAGCCCTTCCTTCTGTGTGCCTTAAGTACAAATCTGGTTTAAAATCAATAACTTAGAGTAATGTTTGACGGATTTTAATGAAATTTGATATGAAGGTAAATGGTATAAAAACACCACATAAGTTCAATTTCAGAGTATGTAGGTCAAAGGTCATAGCTCATTAAATATGCGAATCTGGTTTCTGTTCGATAACTTTAGTAATATTTGATGGATTTTCATGAAATTCGATATGAAGGTACAGGGTATAAAAACGAGGCATAAGTTCAATTTCCGAGTATGTAGGTCAAAGGTCATGGCTCATTAAAAATGCGAATCTGGTTTCCGATTGATAACTTTAGTAATGTTTGACAGATTTTAATCAAATTTGATATGAAGGTACATGCTATCAAAATACAGCATAAGTTCAGTTTTGGAGTATGTAGGTCAAAGGTCATAGTTCATTAAATGTGCAAATCTGGTTTCTATTCGATAACTTTAGTAATGTTTGACGGATTTTAATGAAATTTGATAGGAAGGTACATGCTATCAAAATACAGCATAAGTTCAGTTTCGGAGTATGTAGGTCAAAGGTCATAGCTCATTAAATATGCGAATCTGGTTTCTGTTTGATAACTTTAGTATTATTTGATGGATTTTCATGAAATTCGATATGAAGGTACATAGTATAAAAATACAGCATAAGTTCAATTTCCGAGTATGTAGGTCAAAGGTCATGGCTCATTAAATATGCGAATCTGGTTTCCGATTGATAACTTTAGTAATGTTTGACAGATTTTAATCAAATTTGATATGAAGGTACATGCTATCAAAATACAGCATAAGTTCAGTTTCGGAGTATGTAGGTCAAAGGTCATAGTTCATTAAATGTGCAAATCTGGTTTATATTCGATAACTTTAGTAATGTTTGACGGATTTTAATGAAATTTGATAGGAAGGTACATGCTATCAAAATACAGCATAAGTTCAGTTTCGGAGTATGTAGGTCAAAGGTCATAGCTCATTAAATATGCGAATCTGGTTTCTGTTTGATAACTTTAGTATTATTTGATGGATTTTCATGAAATTCGATATGAAGGTACATAGTATAAAAACGAGGCATAAGTTCAATTTCCGAGTATGTAGGTCAAAGGTCATAGCTCATTAAATATGCGAATCTGGTTTCCGATTGATAACTTTAGTAATGTTTGACAGATTTTAATCAAATTTGATATGAAGGTACATGCTATCAAAATACAGCATAAGTTCAGTTTCGGAGTATGTAGGTCAAAGGTCATAGTTCATTAAATGTGCAAATCTGGTTTCTATTCGATAACTTAAGTAATGTTTGACGGATTTTAATAAAATTTGATAGGAAGGTACATGCTATCAAAATACAGCATAAGTTCAGTTTCGGAGTATGTAGGTCAAAGGTCATAGCTCATTAAATATGCGAATCTGGTTTCTGATATCGATAACTTTAGTAATGTTTGACGGATTTTAATCAAATTTGATATGAAAGTACATGGCATCAAAACATGGCCTTAGTTTGATTTCCCAGTATGTACCCTGCGAGGGGATGCTATGCTTTGCGTTGACTTGTTTTATTTATGTCATTTAGCATTATGAATGAGGGCTCATTATTTGTATTTATTGTAATATATTGATATTGGTATTTTATTAAATGTAATTTTTTGTTTTGTTTTGTTTGTATTTTAGGTTACTGAGAGTTGAAGAGAGAGTTGCAGAAAGTAAGTTGATATGCTTAGAAAGGCTGAAGTCAAGTAGTTTTTAAATTAAAGCTATGATGGAATGAAACAGATCCGCATAATTGGGAACAATTGAATGCAGAATACGAAAGCTATGGCTTTAAGAAATTTTCTATATAAGTTTTTGACACTACCAAGTTACTTTTAATTATGTCAGTAAAGGTATAGACCAGTTTTGGAAAAGCCCCCCTCTCAAAAAATGAAATGGTACCTTTTTTTAACAATCATGTGAAAGAATATGTTTTGACTAATACCTGATGATACAAATTTTGATACTAATTGATATATTTGGTAAATTCTTATATCTATCCGGAGTGGATAGATATCGCGCATGTGTCGCATAGTCCCATATACATCTTTCTGTGTACAGTGCTTGTAACTTTACCATGACTGGGTCAAATTTCTCATCATTTTGATGATCCAGAACCTTTCAGTACACACCAATACTTACCGTATATGCTAGATGATCAACCTTTTGTGATCGATTTCACAACGTTTTTTTCGCAATGCAATCGCATGACCAAAACTGGTCTTGAATGAGGGCTCACTATTTGTATTTATTTTTGTAATATATTCATATTGGTTTTTTATAAAATGCAATTGTTTTTTTCTTTTCTTTTTTTATTTCTAGTGCTTTTAATCAACAAATGTCAGTTTGATTAAAGAAATGACCCACACCAGACGGTTATTTCTGTCTATGACTCTCTATGTTTTGCTGGAGTGTGGGGTGGAGGGGGGGGGGGGGGGGGGAGTCACAGGTTGAACATTGGCACATAGAGAGGTCAAAAGTCATTTGAGGTCAAGCGTTAAAGTTTACCTGCAACCTCAGCTACACTACAAACACAAACACATTTTACCTTCACACATGTAAAATATCAATGCAATAATTCTACTCGTATCAAAGGGGGAGGGAGTAGATGCAGTGGAAGCAGGTGAAAGGCAGTAGCATATCATGTAATACCCCTTCTCAAAGTTTATGGGATTTTGCATTCTATGGCAGATATTTCAAAATCAGCTTGCGATAGGCCCTACAATTCTTATAGATGGCAATGGACATTGCGATATTCTAGTTATTTTCACAAGTGGGCGAGACACAACATCGCTAATGCCTTGTTTAAACTGAAAAGTCATCCACAAAGTAGATGAGGTTTAGACATTGGTCAGTTAAAAATGTATGTTGTGCCACCACCCATGATAATGTCATTACAGAAATGGTACAATTTGAAACAGGAAAAGAGCTTAAAATGAAAATGCATTGAAGTACTGTACCTAAACAAAATATTGATATTAACATTATTTCTGAACTGTTGGTTCTTACAAAAGTTATTGATTTCGGTCTAAGTAGCAGTTTGGGATGTAATGTGGTGTTTGAATCTTTCCATTTCAGATTTGATAGATCTACTCTTACTGTTGGACAGTTACTGAGAGAGAAGCAAGGAGGCAGAGGTAAATTCAGCTCTTACTGTTGGACAGTTAGTGAGAGGGAAGCAGGGAGGAAGAGGTGAATAGAGCCCTTATTGTTGAACATTTACCGAGAGAGAAGCAAGGAGGCAGAGGTGAATAGAGCTCTTACTCTTGGACAGTTATTTAGAGAGAAGCAAGGAGGCAGAGGTAAATAGAGTTGTTACTGTTGGACAGTTATTGAGAGACGAGCAAGGAGGAAGAGGTGAATAGAGCTCTTACTGTTGGACAGTTACTGACACAGAAGCAAGGAGGCAGAGGTGAATAGAACTCTTACTGTTGGACAGTTAATGAGAGAGAAGCAAGGAGGCAGAGGTAAATAGAACTCTTATTGTTGGACAGTAACTGACACAGAAGCAAGGAGGCAGAGGTGAATAGAACTCTTACTGTTGGACAGTTAATGAGAGAGAAGCAAGGAGGCAGAGGTAAATAGAGTTGTTACTGTTGGACAGTTATTTAGAAGGAGGGGATCTAGACCCCTGTATTATGCTGCTCGCTGTCGAAGCCCTTCCTTCTGTGTGCCTTAAGTACAAATCTGGTTTAAAATCAATAACTTTAGAGTAATGTTTGACGGATTTTAATGAAATTTGATATGAAGGTAAATGGTATAAAAACACCGCATAAGTTCAATTTCAGAGTATGTAGGTCAAAGGTCATAGCTCATTAAATATGCGAATCTGGTTTCTGTTCGATAACTTTAGTAATATTTGATGGATTTTCATGAAATTCGATATGAAGGTACAGGGTATAAAAACGAGGCATAAGTTCAATTTCCGAGTATGTAGGTCAAAGGTCATGGCTCATTAAATATGCGAATCTGGTTTCCGATTGATAACTTTAGTAATGTTTGACAGATTTTAATCAAATTTGATATGAAGGTACATGCTATCAAAATACAGCATAAGTTCAGTTTCGGAGTATGTAGGTCAAAGGTCATAGTTCATTAAATGTGCAAATCTGGTTTCTATTCGATAACTTTAGTAATGTTTGACGGATTTTAATGAAATTTGATAGGAAGGTACATGCTATCAAAATACAGCATAAGTTCAGTTTCGGAGTATGTAGGTCAAAGGTCATAGCTCATTAAATATGCGAATCTGGTTTCTGATATCGATAACTTTAGTAATGTTTGACGGATTTTAATCAAATTTGATATGAAAGTACATGGCATCAAAACATGGCCTTAGTTTGATTTCCCAGTATGTACCCTGCGAGGGGATGCTATGCTTTGCGTTGACTTGTTTTATTTATGTCATTTAGCATTATGAATGAGGGCTCATTATTTGTATTTATTGTAATATATTGATATTGGTATTTTATTAAATGTAATTTTTTGTTTTGTTTTGTTTGTATTTTAGGTTACTGAGAGTTGAAGAGAGAGTTGCAGAAAGTAAGTTGATATGCTTAGAAAGGCTGAAGTCAAGTAGTTTTTAAATTAAAGCTATGATGGAATGAAACAGATCCGCATAATTGGGAACAATTGAATGCAGAATACGAAAGCTATGGCTTTAAGAAATTTTCTATATAAGTTTTTGACACTACCAAGTTACTTTTAATTATGTCAGTAAAGGTATAGACCAGTTTTGGAAAAGCCCCCCTCTCAAAAAATGAAATGGTACCTTTTTTTAACAATCATGTGAAAGAATATGTTTTGACTAATACCTGATGATACAAATTTTGATACTAATTGATATATTTGGTAAATTCTTATATCTATCCGGAGTGGATAGATATCGCGCATGTGTCGCATAGTCCCATATACATCTTTCTGTGTACAGTGCTTGTAACTTTACCATGACTGGGTCAAATTTCTCATCATTTTGATGATCCAGAACCTTTCAGTACACACCAATACTTACCGTATATGCTAGATGATCAACCTTTTGTGATCGATTTCACAACGTTTTTTTCGCAATGCAATCGCATGACCAAAACTGGTCTTGAATGAGGGCTCACTATTTGTATTTATTTTTGTAAAATAATCATATTGGTTTTTTATAAAATGCAATTGTTTTTTTCTTTTCTTTTTTTATTTCTAGTGCTTTTAATCAACAAATGTCAGTTTGATTAAAGAAATGACCCACACCAGACGGTTATTTCTGTCTATGACTCTCTATGTTTTGCTGGAGTGTGGGGTGGAGGGGGGGGGGGGGGGGGGGGGGAGTCACAGGTTGAACATTGGCACATAGAGAGGTCAAAAGTCATTTGAGGTCAAGCGTTAAAGTTTACCTGCAACCTCAGCTACACTACAAACACAAACACATTTTACCTTCACACATGTAAAATATCAATGCAATAATTCTACTCGTATCAAAGGGGGAGGGAGTAGATGCAGTGGAAGCAGGTGAAAGGCAGTAGCATATCATGTAATACCCCTTCTCAAAGTTTATGGGATGTTGCATTCTATGGCAGATATTTCAAAATCAGCTTGCGATAGGCCCTACAATTCTTATAGATGGCAATGGACATTGCGATATTCTAGTTATTTTCACAAGTGGGCGAGACACAACATCGCTAATGCCTTGTTTAAACTGAAAAGTCATCCACAAAGTAGATGAGGTTTAGACATTGGTCAGTTAAAAATGTATGTTGTGCCACCACCCATGATAATGTCATTACAGAAATGGTACAATTTGAAACAGGAAAAGAGCTTAAAATGAAAATGCATTGAAGTACTGTACCTAAACAAAATATTGATATTAACATTATTTCTGAACTGTTGGTTCTTACAAAAGTTATTGATTTCGGTCTAAGTAGCAGTTTGGGATGTAATGTGGTGTTTGAATCTTTCCATTTCAGATTTGATAGATCTACTCTTACTGTTGGACAGTTACTGAGAGAGAAGCAAGGAGGCAGAGGTAAATTCAGCTCTTACTGTTGGACAGTTAGTGAGAGGGAAGCAGGGAGGAAGAGGTGAATAGAGCTCTTATTGTTGAACATTTACTGAGAGAGAAGCAAGGAGGCAGAGGTGAATAGAGCTCTTACTCTTGGACAGTTATTTAGAGAGAAGCAAGGAGGCAGAGGTAAATAGAGTTGTTACTGTTGGACAGTTATTGAGAGACGAGCAAGGAGGAAGAGGTGAATAGAGCTCTTACTGTTGGACAGTTACTGACACAGAAGCAAGGAGGCAGAGGTGAATAGAACTCTTACTGTTGGACAGTTAATGAGAGAGAAGCAAGGAGGCAGAGGTAAATAGAACTCTTATTGTTGGACAGTTACTGACACAGAAGCAAGGAGGCAGAGGTGAATAGAACTCTTACTGTTGGACAGTTAATGAGAGAGAAGCAAGGAGGCAGAGGTAAATAGAGTTGTTACTGTTGGAAAGTTATTGAGAGACAAGCAAGGAGGAAGAGGTGAATAGAGCTGTTACTGTTGGACAGTTACTGAGACAGAAGCAAGGAGGCAGAGGTGAACAGAACTCTTACTGTTGGACAGTTAATGAGAGAGAAGCAAGGAGGCAGAGGTAAATAGAACTCTTATTGTTGGACAGTTACTGACACAGAAGCAAGGAGGCAGAGGTGAATAGAACTCTTACTGTTGGACAGTTAATGAGAGAGAAGCAAGGAGGCAGAGGTAAATAGAGTTGTTACTGTTGGACAGTTATTGAGAGACAAGCAAGGAGGAAGAGGTGAATAGAGCTGTTACTGTTGGACAGTTACTGAGACAGAAGCAAGGAGGCAGAGGTGAATAGAGCTCTTACTGTTGGACAGTTAATGAGAGAGAAGCAAGGAGGCAGAGGTAAATAGAGTTGTTACTGTTGGACAGTTATTGAGAGACAAGCAAGGAGGAAGAGGTGAATATATAGAGCTGTTACTGTTGGACAGTTACTGAGACAGAAGCAAGGAGGCAGAGGTGAATAGAGCTCTTACTGTTGGACAGTTACTGACACAGAAGCAAGGAGGCAGAGGTGAATAGAACTCTTACTGTTGGACAGTTAATGAGAGAGAAGCAAGGAGGCAGAGGTAAATAGAACTCTTATTGTTGGACAGTTACTGACACAGAAGCAAGGAGGCAGAGGCGAATAGAACTCTTACTGTTGGACAGTTAATGAGAGAGAAGCAAGGAGGCAGAGGTAAATAGAGTTGTTACTGTTGGACAGTTATTGAGAGACAAGCAAGGAGAAAGAGGTGAATAGAGCTGTTACTGTTGGACAGTTACTGAGACAGAAGCAAGGAGGCAGAGGTGAATAGAGCTCTTACTGTTGGACAGTTAATGAGTGTTGCTATTCTGTTTACATCGCGAGGGTTTACTCTCGAAAGAACTCTCCAAAGAACTTGCACTTGAACTTGCACTTGAACTTACACTTGAACTTACACTTGAACTTGCACTTGAACTAGCACTTGAACTTGCACTTGAACTATCTTGAACTATCTTAAACTATTTGAACTATCTTGAACTATTTTGAACTATCTTGAACTATCCAAAGAACTTGCACTTGAACTTGCACTTGAACTAGCACTTGAACTTGAACTTGCACTTCAACTATCTTCAACTATCTTGAACTATCTTGAACTATTTGAACTATCTTGAACTATTTGAACTATCTTGAACTATTTTGAACTTGTATTTGAACTAGCACTTGAACTTGAACTATCTTGAATGTATTGTAGCATAATCTTACCTCACAAACGTTAAAATTTTTGCCTTCTGAAAGATGGATGATGCTCCTTTTCATTTTAACAAACCTTTTAATATTTACCCCCTCTCGTTACAGGTGTCTGGCTGTCACTTATGTGTTTGTGTTTGTCTCCTGGAAAAGTAATTGTTTTATGTTGACATCTTTTCATTGTATACATTTGAACCAAAGAACCTTCATCTCACCTCTTTTCCTAATCTCAGAAGAGATCCTGCTCTCAGAAGAGAGTGTCCCACACTCAAGAAGGGTGTGCGTCTTTATCCATTTCATCACATTTCACCCACGGGAGACCGTGGTAGAGTTGTATAAAGAATCCACAGAAGAAATAACTGAAAAAGAAAAGAAATTACTGAAAAAGAAAAGAAATTACTGAAAAAGAAAACAGGAACCAGGTGAGACTCCTGGATATATAATCAATAACAGGAACCAGGTGAAACTCCTGGATATATAATCAATAACAGGAAGCAGGTGAAACTCCTGGATATATAAGCAATAACAGGAACCAGGTGAGACTCCTGGATAAATAAGCAATAACAGGAACCAGGTGAGACTCGTGGATAAATAAGCAATAACAGGGACAGTGTGTTAGAAAAACAAACAGGCTTGATAGGAATAAATACAATTTATCAAATTACAGTTTTGAGAAATAAAAGGCAAGTTTGCAAAAAGTGGGAAACAAACTTGAGATATTTTCAGTTGTAGGGATACAATAAAGTGTGTTTGCTTACAAAGAACTTTGGGTGAGCGTATTGGAAATTCATTAACCAGTGATAAGATTAATTAATCAGAAGAAAAGCAGGATATTTGATCGTTTACAGATTTTTTTCAAAAGGAAGTAAGCGTGGTAAAATTGAAAAAGGAGTGGGGAAAATTGAAGAAAGAAAAGAAGGTTTAGAAATACAAGTGAACTAGAGTAGTTGGATAGAAGATATTTGATTACAGAGGTTTTTAAGTTAAAAGAAAAAGAAGTGAGTTTGAAAAATTACAAAGAGAGTGAGTAAAATTGAAGTCAAGAGAACAAGTAACCTTGAGTAGTTTGAAAGAGCATATTTTATTACAGAGAGGTTTTTTTAAAGAAAGGAGTAAGCTTTAAATTACAAAGAGTGAGGACGATTGAAGAGAGTAAGGTTCAAAAGTTTATAGAGTTAGACAAAAAAAAAGGAAGTGACTGATAAATTACACATACTGAAGTCAAGTGTGGAGAATTGAAGAGAATTAAGTGCAGAGATACAAGTGGGCTTGAGTAGTTGCAGAGAGGGTATTTGATCATTCACAGATTTTGTTTAAAAAATCCCTGATAAATTACAAAAAGATTGAGGAAAATTGAAGTAAGAGGAAACGTAAATACAAGTGAGCTTAGGTGGTTGGAAAGAAAATATTTGATTAGAGAGTTTTTAGAATAAAAAGACCGGAACTTGGTAAATTACATATTCGTGAGGAAAATTAAAGCCAGAGAACAAGATTGAGAAATAAAGTGGGCTTAAGAACTTTGATAGAGGATATTTGATGACACTTTTTTTTTTAATTTAAGAAAGAGGTAAGCTTGATTAATTACAAAAGCGTGAGAAAAGTTGAAGTAAGAGAATAAAGTCCAGAACTTACAGAGTTTAGAGAAAAGGAGGTGTCTTTGATAAGTTGAACATATTAAAAAAAAAGAAAAAAAGGGTGAGGAAAATTGAAGAGAATAAGGTTCAGAAATACAAGTGGGCTTGAGAAGTTGCAGAGAAGGTATTTTATCATTTACAGAGTTTTGGAGAAAAGAAGGGAGCGTGATAAATAAAAAGAATAAGGAAATTATTAAAGAGATCAAGGTAGAAAAATACAAGTGGGCTTGAGTGGTTGGAAAGAAAATATTTGATCACAGATTTTCTTTTCTTTTTTTTAAAGTGAGCTTGATAAATAACAAAAGTAGAAAAATTGAAGTAAGAGAACAAGGTTTAGGAAAAACATATAAGCTTAAGTAGTTTCATAGAGAGTAGGAAACGTGTTAATATAACTAATATTCAAGTAATTAACTAAAGTTTGTTGATAAAGAAGAGAGTTGAAGGAAATTTTGATAAGATATTCAGTGTTTGTATTAAGTGACTTTCATTACAAGGAAAATAACATTATAATAAACCCTTAAGTGTGAAAAGGGGATAAACAATTTTGCATCGAGAGTGACAGAGTCCACTTGCGAGTCTGCTTCATTGACAAACAGATTTTAAAAATTGTCGGGGAACTAAAAGTTTTTAATAAAGTATTGCACTTTGAAGAGATATATTGCAGAATAGATACAAAGATTCGTACGTGAAATCTTTAAAAGTATTACCTTCTTGTACATCCAAAACACATCAAGGCATTTATTTGAATATTACTAATTAGACTGTAAACTTTTAATATTGTGCATTTTATGCCTATTGCGATAAAGAGATTGAAGATGGCTGCCACTCAATTCAGCTCTATTGTTCATGAGATTCTAAGCATGCTTTCCAGTTACACATCGATGATCAACACAGATGTTGATGAATGTTATTGCATGGATAAGATCAATAAAAGTGACAACTATGTAACATGCGAGTCTTGTACCAACCATTTCCATGTGACTTGTGAGGAATACTTGAACAATGAAAAACTTGCTGACCAGAGATTGATTTGGATTTGCTCATGCTGTGGTCATAGCAATATTGGCGATCGAATATTTGACAAAGTATGTATTCCATCTCATTATAACAGATATGAGCCTCTCATGTCAGCAGATGACGATGATGACAATGACGATGAGAACATGGAGATCTTCAAACAGACAAGACGAGTAAGGACATCAAAGAAGAGGTATGTTAAAGTAAAAAGGAGCACGCTGTTTGCAGAGCCATGTAGCAGATATGAAAATGGTGTAACAGACAATCTGTCTCATTTCATAGATCAAAACTTGCTCAATGAAGAAGTTGACGATAAGTGGGTGAAAGTGAAATGCAAGAGAGCAAAACTGATGGCAAGAAAAAGAGAAGAAAGATTGCATTCAAATTCAAAAGAAGAAAATGAACAGGACAAAAGGCAGAAAAGATCAATTCATGGTGTATTGTTGGAACCAGGTGTTACCTACATTGGCAAAGCATTCAAGACATTTTATGGGAGTCGTAAGAGAAAAAACACAGTACACAAAAAAGAGTGTAAGGTGAAGCAGAAAATGAAAAATGAAGAAGAAGATGTCAGTGTGCAATCCTATGCAGAAAATCTATTGAGCATTTATGCTTGCAGTGTGCAATCTCTACATTCTATGAAGGTTTACAATGAAGCCTGTGAAGAAATGGAAAGAATGCAAAATCAATCATACGCTGACGTAACTGCTAGTTTGTCTCCATTGTCAAAACCAGATTCTGATCAACGCTCTAACCAAAGAACTTGCAACATTCTGGAAAAGATGCAGGATTTGAGACGATACAGAGTCTACGCAGGAGGTAAAAGAGGAAGAGGTCGAAAAAGGAACATGAAAGGTCAGTCTTCCAAAGCCGGGAAAAAAGGCACTGATGGAAATCACTCTTCTGATAAATCAGAGATTAGATTTGACAAAGATGAAGGAATAGAATTAGCAGTAAAGAATGAGAAGCTGGATACAAAGAAATCTATGAATGCAAGTGACCAAGGACTTGATCCAAATACATGTAAAAATAATGAACACTCAGACCAGCATATTTGCAATATGAAAGACAACAAAGGTTCAGATGGAGTTGTGCAGGACGATTCAAAGAATAATCTGTTGCAATCAAATTTTGATGAAAATAGGGAAATTGAAACAGACGATGATAGTGGCAGTGATGTTCATATACCAGTGAAACGTTCGTGTGCAAGGAATTGTATAGAATCTGATAGTGATACAGACACAAGTCCTGGATGTGATTTATTCGATAGAAGTGTTTCACCAGAACGCAATATGCCTTTGAATGTTTGTGATAGACCAAAAGATATGCCCAGAAATGAACCAGTAGGCAATGTCTGTGAATCGGTATTGGAAAATGATGATATGATGAAAAATGATTTTTCAGATGTTTCAGATGGTGTAGAAGAAGATGCAGTGTTTGACAGTGACCTGAAGAATAGAAGCTTTGATACAGTAAAAGATGGTACAGACAATGATACTGATATGTCATTTAATGATCATGCTCATTCAAGGAATCCTTTAGAATCTTCTTCAGATTCAAATATCAAAGATGAAGACATTGAAAAGGCAATAGATGCTAATATGTACACATGTACTGATGAAACAGAAACAGAAGTTGAATTTGTAGCAGATCTTGGATTACGTGGTAGACCGGATAAAGATTTCAAATTTGTACCCCTCCAGAATAATGACAAACAGAACATTTGTTCAAAACTGAATATCAGATATATAGGCAAAGGCTGTGATTCAAGGTTAGATAGAAATAGCTGTCTTGGAGTTCCTTTACAGAGTAAACAAATTACTGGTGATGGCAATTGTTTCTTTCGTGCAATTTCCTATGTAATTTCTGGAACTGAGCATAATCATGCAATTTTAAGAAATGCCACTGTGAAACATTTATTGCAAACCAAGGACATGTTTAGTAATACATTGAGGCAAGAATATAGAACAGTCAGAGAATATGTTTTGAAACGTAGAATAAAGGAAGACGGAACGTGGGCTACAGACACTGAAATTAGCGCTTTAGCAAATTTAATCGATACTGATATTTATTCATACAATGACCAAGTACCATGTTGGCAATTGTACTCCGCAAAGAAACCTGGAAGAATCAATATTGTTACATCTGATAAGGGAATTTATATACTGTACACAGGAAATGTTCATTTTAATGTTGTTGAATCTGTAGATTTTGTCAATTTCAATTCATTGGAACAGACAAGAACAACTAAAGAAGATAGAACGTCAAAGAGAACTTTGCCATGTCCATCAATTCAGGCTGATGTTAAAGTAAAGCATGTGTTGAAGAAGTGTAGATCCAAGTCGCAGATAGAGGAAGAAATTGATGAAGTAGTGGATAAGTCTCCTGAAACATTTCAAAACCATGTTGATCCAAAGGGAAAAAAACGTAGGCTCACGTTGGAGACTGGTACGATAAATCACGATGAGAGGAAAGGTACTGCAAATCTTTTGGACATGACATATGAACAGTGTGCAAGTAATCAGTCTGAATCAGTCGTTCACAACGAACGTAACACCAAGGATGAAACCCTTGAAAGTGATCACAAAGACAAATGCACGAGAGTCGATACACAAATAATGCTTGTTGCCCAAGGGACATTCAATCAAGGTGATACAAGATTTGGTGACTTAAGTGGAAAGCAGTGTGTTACCAATTCACTTTCTGCACTGTTGTATAGCAAGGTAAAAAATGCCAATGATTGGAAAAGTACAGATCTAGACAGGATTTTGAATAACGGTAATGAATTATACTGTTACATACGGCGATCCACTTCACTCGACAACCAATACTTATTGATATCTGATCTATTTGAATATTTGGATGCGTACAATGAATTGTTTAACATAGTACGCCGTGAACCAGTCACTGGATTGTTAGATGGAGATGAATTGATATTGGCCCAGTCTCTTTCGATGACATTGAAGCAAGCACTCGAAAAAGAACTCTGTACTGATTCTGATGCATGTTTTGTGACATTTGCTAGAAGTACTTTCATTGTATTATCTGGTCAAGATGGTTTCTTTATATTTGATTCACATTCCAGAAGCAGTCGAGGTTTCCTGAGTTGTAACGGACACAGTGTTGTACTTCGTACTCAAAGCTGGCAAGGTGTGTACAAGCATTGCATGAGGTTAGCAAAATCAATGGGATGCCCCCTGCACACCGAATATGAAGTAACTAGTGTATGTGCTAAAGCAACTTCCGGTAAGAATGAAACCTTGAAAGGCTATCCACAGTTACAGGATTTTGTTTGTAATCCAATTCCTTCGTCAAATACTCACAGTGAAAGTCAGTCTGGAAGCTCTGGATGTTCCATACATTGTGAAAGCTTTGATGAAGTTCAAATATTGGATGAGAGTGTTTCCCCACAAAAGATGATTGATAACCCAAATGTATTTCTCTTCCCTGAAAAAGCAAATGAAACAATCATTCATGATGTACATTATAACGGTCAGCAATTAAAACTGAAGAGTGTGACAATTGGCTTAACCAAATTAAGAGAATCACAGCTAAATAATAGTTGTCTTCTAAACGGAAATGACTCTATAAATACAGAATATGAAAATGAACAAAAAGGAGATTCCAAAAATTGTACTAAATCCGGGAATGACTCTGATAGATTGAATTTAGTGAACAAAGCTCAGAATTCCAACTCTATCTTAAGCAGAAAACGAAAATGGAGTAACCTCGAAAGCGATGCAAAAGTTGATGTCGACCTTGGCAAGGAAATTCGAAAAACCAAATTGGTAAAAATGAATGAGAACGACAGCTTAAGAGTTGATGCAAGCAAATGTGTAGATAGTCATGATGAATTAATAATAATTGGAGAAGTTCATGTTGGAAATGTAGACCATGGAAAGAAAAAACGTAAACACAGACAAAGTTCTAATCAAAGAAGGGAGCGCAAGAGACAGCTTATGAGAGAAAAACGAGCCTTGACCAAAGATGAAATAATTAAGAAAAAGGAAAAGTGTATTCACAATGCGCAAATCAAAAAAAATAAAATGAAAAATAAATATCGAAATGATTTAACCTACAAAATAGAAAAAATAAATGAAGTAAAACAAAGGCAAAAAGAAATGTATGAAGAGGATTCAAATTTCAGGAACATACAGCTAAACATTATGAAAACCAAATATCATTTTGATTCACGTTATAAAAAGAAAATTTTGTATGGAAATAAACAAAAATATTTGAGAAATGAAGGATTCAAAGAAAATGTTCAAACAGCTATGAGGATTAAAATGAAAAATAAATATAGGAACGATGAACTATTTAAACAAATGCACAAGAGTAGAATAAGAAGTAAATATTTGAACAATGAACATTTTAAGAAAAAACAACAAGATATCATGAAAAAACGAATAAAGGAATTATATCACAACGATGAACATTTTAAGAAAAAACAACAAGATATCATGAAAAAACGAATAAAGGAATTATATCACAACAATCAACATTTTAAGAAAAAACAACAAGATATCATGAAAAAACGAATAAAAGAATTATATCACAATGATGAACTTTTTAAGGAAAAACAACGAGATACCATGAAGAAACAAATAAAGGAATTATATCACAATGATGAACTTTTTAAGGAAAAACAACGAGATACCATGAAAAAACAAATGAAGGAATTATATAGCAACGATCACTTTAAACATACAAAAAAGGCAAATATGAAAACATTGTCCAAAATTAGATATAAAGGCAACGAATTTAAGGAAAAGAAATTGATGAGCTTAAAAATTAAATATAAAAAAATTGAAAAATATAGGCAAAATGTAATAAAACGAAATCGAAAAAGGTCTGTACTTCGAACAGTAAAATTGTCCAAGTTTGATATTGTACTTGAAGAATTTAGAAAGATAATTTCTCATGGCCCAGAATATGTGTGCTGTGTATGCTTAAAACTTCTCTTTGAGAACCAAGTATTGAAATGTAAAAAGAGTAATTATAACATTCAGACATGCATAAGTGAAGAATATTTGCATGTTTGCAATTCAGAATGCCGGTCAAAATGTTTAATAGGCCAGTCAGCCAGATCGTCACTATGGATATGCTTCACCTGTCATAGAAAATTGCAAGCTGGAAAAGTACCTGCAGAAGCAAATATGAACAATTTACAACTACATGAAGTTCCAAAAGAACTTGCCAATCTGAACAATTTAGAACAGCATTTGATTGCATTGAATATCCCTTTCATGAAGCTAATGGCCTTGCCTAAAGGTGGTCAAAATGGAGTCCATGGCCCAGTCGTGTGCGTGCCTTCAAACACTTATGAAACAGTAGATATGTTGCCAAGACCACAGACTGAAGATCAATTGATCCGTGTTAAACTCAAACGAAAATTGTCGTACAAAAGCTATTATGAGTACAAATTTGTAGATAAATCTAACTTGCTTAATGCTCTGCAGTATTTAAAAGCAAATAATAAGTGGTATTTTGATGTTACAGTAAATGATAAATGGGAAAACTCACTTGAACGAAATGAAAAAGATAATGAAAAGGAAGAAGCAGTGGAAATTGGTGGTAAAGCTCGTTTAGCAAAATATTGGAAGGAAATGGAAGAACAAATTGATTACATTTTGTCCAAAGACAAAAATGCTAATGAAAACATGCAAGACAACAGTAAACTACAACAAAAAATAGATGACAACGACACTGAAGACGATATGGAACAACGCTTACGTGGTATTCAGTTAGACTCGTGTCTCCAGCCAGTAGATATTGGACAGGAAATATTAGATCAGTATTTTGAAGACATAATATGTTGTGCTCCTTGTGAAGGAAGAAGCCCTGTATCAATTCTACAAGATGAAAGCAATGAGGCCAAATGTTTCCCAGTATTATTTCCTAAAGGTCAACCAACATTCCATGATAGAAGAGATGAAAAAATAACATTAGGACGTTATCTGCATAACCGACTGATGCACGTGGACAATAGATTTGCTCAGAATACAGATTACATCTTTTATGCACAATATATTTATGAAATTCAACAGGTTATATCACAAGTTTCTATCGCTTTAAGGCAAAGTCCAAACAAAAAAGATGATTCGTCTTCAATAACTGCCTCAGATTTGAAAGATGCAGAGAAAGTTAAAAAAATACTAAAATCAGACAAGGGCTATAAATTTTTAAAGCAAATTCGTGGAACACCTCCATTCTGGCAAAAGACACAAAAAGATGTTCTCGCAATGGTAAGACAGCTTGGAAAGCCGACATGGTTTGCTTCTTTCTCATCTGCCGATATGAGATGGCCAGAATTAATGAATACATTGCTTAGACAAAAAGGAGACACCAGGGAATCGAGTGAATTAGACTATACAGAAAAATGTAATCTTTTAAGATCAAATCCAGTAACAGTTGCCAGAATGTTTGATAAAAGATTTCACACTTTTATGAAGAGAGTTATTTTATCTCCCGCTGCACCGATTGGTAAAGTAGTTGATTCATTTTGGAGAGTAGAGTATCAAGCTCGTGGTTCCCCTCACATTCATGCCTTGTTCTGGGTTCAAAATGCTCCACAGTTGGGTATCGATAAAGATGATGATGTTGTACAATTCGTAGATAAATACATTTCTTGCCAGAAACCGGATGAAAAGGAAGATCAAGAACTGCATGAAATAGTAAGCAAGGTCCAACAACACAGTAAGAAACATTCTAAATCTTGCACAAAAACAGGGAAGGCGTGTAGATTTAATTTTCCGAGACCACCATCTGGAAAAACATTCATTGTAACACCTGTTGAAGAGATTCCAGCTAAAGATTGTGGGAAAGTGCAAAATAAGGGAAAGGACAATGATCAAGTTAGAGCTTCTGAAAAGATTAAAGATGATGCAGAGAAATTGTTGAAGTCAGTTAAAGATGCATTATCTAATGGAATCGAGTACAACAGTGTAAACCATCTCTTTGAAAAGCTTGGCATTACACAAAATCAATTTGAGAATGCACATAATGAATTAGCATCACAACAAAGTATGATCATCAAAAGAGAAATACAAGATGTATGGGTAAATCAGTTTAATCCAAGTCTACTAAGAAGCTGGAATGCCAACATGGATTTGCAGTTCGTAACAAATGTATTTGCATGCGTGGCTTATATTGTATCCTACATGTCAAAAGCTGAACGAGAAATCGGAATGCTATTGAGTCATACACTATCAGAAATGAAAGAGGGAAATGAGAACGCAAAGGAAAGCATGAAAAAACTTGGCCAGGTGTACATGCAAAATCGTGAAGTGTCTGCTCAAGAAAGCGTCTATCGTGTTTGCAGTCTCAGATTGAAAGAATGTTCTAGGAAAGTGGAATTCATTCCTGTTGGACCCGACCCTGTCAGAATGAGTTTACCATTAAGCGTTATAAAAAGCAGACCAGATAACGATAATGATGATGATGAGAATGTTTGGATGCCTAGCAAGCTCGACAGATACAAAGCTCGACCTAAAAACGCAGAATTCAGTGATATGTGTCTTGCAACGTTTTGTTCTCAGTATAGAATCTTAACTGCATCCCAAACGCCAAGTACAAGAAGTAAAAATGTCTTTAAATTAGATAACGATCTGGGATATATTCAGAAGCGTACTCGTACAGGAGATGCAGTTGTAAGATATCCCCGATTCTCACCCATCATCTCACCCGAAAAATATTATTTGAGCATTTTGCAACTCTTTCTGCCATATTTTGAAGATGGACAATTAAAGCCCCCAACATTTAAAACACATGAAGAGTTTTACGAGACAGGTTCTGTGAAAATATGTGGACGTGAATTGGAGAAAGTCTGGTCAATTGTCTGTACCAACCGAAAGAAGTTTGAAATGAATGCTGATGCAATTGATCATGCACAGGAGCACCTTGACAAATTTGGTCCACACGAAGATGCATGGGGTCTTTTATGTCCGGAAAAGGAAGTAGAGCGACTTGAACATCCCAAAGAAAATGTAGATGTCGAAGATTGTGATGGAGATCTTGATATCCCTGATTTAAAGAATGAACCAAAAAAAGATGACTATAGCATCGAACTACGTTCTGTAAAAATTTCCAAACAAGATGGACATTCTTTGATGAGGTCTTTGAATGAGAAGCAACAGAGTGTTTTTTACAAAATACGACAGTGGTGTTTAGATAGAGTAAATGGAAAATCGGTCGAACCGTTTCATATTTTTCTAACTGGAGGTGCTGGCACTGGAAAGAGTCATTTGATCAAATGTCTTTACTATGAAGCAACACGTATACTAGCTCGAATGTTGCCACATCCTGATGATGTCTCAGTATTGAAAATGGCTCCAACCGGAGTAGCTGCATACAATATCAATGGCCATACTATACATAGTATTCTTTCTATTCCAATCAATGCACAAAGACTGTATCAACCTCTGAGTGATGAGAAAATAAGTGTCCTTCGAAATAAGCTGGCTGAATTGCAAATTTTAATCATAGATGAAGTATCAATGGTAGATCAAAAGTTGATGTCTTACATTCACGGCCGCCTACGACAAATAAAACAATCACGCGATCAAACTGCTTTTGCTGGTGTTTCAGTTATTGCTGTGGGAGACATGTATCAGTTACCTCCAGTCTTAGGAACTCCTTTATATAAAGACACACTCAATGGTGCATTGTGGAATGCTAATTTCAAGAAAGTAGAACTTGAAGACATTATGAGACAAAAAGACGATACCCAATTCGCTTTTCTCTTAAATAGATTACGTGTAAAAGAAGGGGATGAAATTCTCTGCGATGAAGACCTAGCAATGCTCAAGTCCTGTGAAACTGGCGAAGAATGTGAAAATGCTCTGCATATCTATGCATGTAACAATGAAGTAGATGCTTGGAACAAGAAATTATTGCATACAAAATGTGGAGATGTGATATGTGTAAAAGCACAAGACATGGACAAAGATGTTAAAAAAGGAAATCAAATACTGGAAAAACCTTATACAAAGATGAAAACCCAGTTGCCTCCTTATCTGTGGATTGCAGTTAATGCTAGAGTGATGTTGCTCAAGAACATTGATGTTAGTAAAGGCCTGACAAATGGATGTTTCGGAAATGTAACAGAAATAATAACGGATCATACAAATTTGAATCCAGTTTGCATCAAAGTTAATTTTGAGAAGGCCGATGTTGGTATTCATTCCATCGAAATGTCTCAAGAATCCATTGGTAAGAAATATGTGAGAAAACAATTTCCACTTAAGCTTGCTTATGCTTGCACAATTCATAAAGTACAAGGTTCGACATTAGACAAAGCTGTTGTATCATTAAAAAAAGTATTTCAATCTGGACAGGCATATGTTGGGCTTAGTCGCGTTACTTCGTTATCTGGACTTGTGATAGAACATTTCGATCCTAAACTTATATATTGTAATCCAGAAATTAAAGAACGCATTGAGATTATGAAGCCGTTTATCGAGAATGAAACTTCTGAAGATATTCACGATTATAACTTTTCTTTGGTAATGCAAAATGTACAAGGATTAAAACAGCATTTTACTGATTTCAAATCCCAGTGCCAATTTGTGAATGTAGATTGTATTTGCTTGACCGAAACATGGATTAATGATGATGATCTCTGTGACGTTATTTTAGATAACTTTCGATTTTATCATCAGCCACGACATCTGTCATACTGTAGTTCTGGAGTTGGAAATGTACTCAAAGAACAATCGCACGGAGGTGTTGCAATGTATATCAAGAATACATATTCAAGTAGATTAAACATATCTGTCGACAACTTAGAGTTTATCGCAATTCTTGTCACCAAACCAGTTTCTGTTGTGATTTCAGTTGTTTATCGACCTCCATCATATAGTATCAAATCATTCTGTGAATCATTAGACAATTTGCTAGATGCATTACACAAAAGAAGCATTAGGTGTATTGTGATGGGAGATTTTAATGAGGATTTGTTTAAAGGTTCTTCACAGGTAAACAAGCTAATGTGTAATAAAGGTTACAAACAGCATGTTGTTAATGCTACCACTGAGAAGGGAACATTGATAGATCATGTGTACAGCAAGGGACTAGATTTATTGGAAACAGAGGTCATCCCTACATATTATAGTTACCATGAAGCTGTTAAGATTGCTTTTTAATATTAGTAGTAAAATGAGAAGAACAAACGAGTAAATTTTTCAATTTTGTTGATAAATAAACATTTTCATTTATTATGTCTTCATTTTTGCAAAAATGAATTCAATTCAATTCAATTCAAATGAGGTTTTATTCAAGACTTGTCAAAAAGTCCAACGACTAAAAATGCAAGTTTACATCAAACATATAATCATATAAAAAAAAAGCATTAAAAAACATACATATATATATAAATATTTAAAGAAAACATAGCAAATGAGAACAAATATATAAAATTGAATAAATGTTTACATCAAAATATCAAAGCAGTAACAAGTACAAAAAACCAAAAAATACCAAAAAACAAGATATTAAATATTGCTAGCAAAAATGAATAAATGTTTACATAAAAACAAATAATATTTTTCCTTCTTAAAATGGTTGTCAATATTTTGTTGGCTTACCTTACACTTATCAATGATATCATCTGCCATGGACATCACATTGAAAGCAGGTTGTAAAGATGGTAATACCCTTTTCTTAAGGTGATGAGTTGAAGGATTTATGTGTTGTCACTCCTTGACTTTCAAACCTTAGTATCTTTAAACATATCACTCACGTCATGACATGTACATGTATTTCGAACTGATAGATAACATTTTAGAAATCTAAAACAATGGTACACATTTAGAAAACTGGATTGATAGGTAGATGGATAACAAGATCATACATCCATGCTTTTTCTTCCCAGGTTAAGGATTGTCGACCTGATCCGTATATTGAAGTTGGAACATTCCATGAACCTTGCAAAGTGCTCGTTTTTTGACTGAGTTGGAGTAGGAGACAGGGTACAGGGAAACCATCACTCTGAAGGAGACACTCAAATCAGAGATCAAGCTTGAACGTGACAATGAGACATGCAAGTATTTAAGTAAAGAGGACCGTCAACAAGAAACTCTCTTCCTTATTATATTAAAACAATTTCGTTTCTTAATTCTTTTAAATCAAAACTTATGGTTTTTTTATTCACAAACTCTACAAAATAATTAATCCATCCGGCTAACTTTTATAACTTTTATAACTTTTATAACTTTTAAACTTTTATAACTTTTAAACTCTTTTTTTGCCATAATGTCACTATGCTTTTCTAATTCTTTATCAGTAAAAATTTCGGGATTTTAATAAGCTGGGAATTGCCTCGACAGAACCTTTATTTGGTTCTTTTGCAATTTCCATTTCATGTTCATTATCTATTTCCTTGATTTCTTACTCTTGTCTTTACTTCTCTTTTTAATTGTGTGTTTAAAGTTCAATGTATACTGTGTATCCTACATGTAAATATGTTGTCAATGTACAATGTTTTTCAATGTACTTTTTTTAAATGGACTTAAATAAAATCAAATTGAATTGAAATTGAATTGAATTGAATTGAATTGAATTGAATTAAATTATTATTGTTATGGAATATCAAAATGGGAAGATTAATGATAATGAATGAATACTAATATCATGACGCAATGCTGGAATGTTATTCTCTGAAAGATGATTTGTTTGGTAGTGATAATGCGTTTCAATAGTATGTTATTCACTATGATGTATTAAGTTGTTTGAGTTAATGAAAATTGGAGGGTTACAGTATATTGTCTCAACAATCATGGTGGTAAATATGATGACAATGAGTAGGACAGTGATGATTATAGGATTATATCAATGTTATACTGTCAATGATGTTTACATGATAATTAACCTTTACTGTAGTGGGCTATTTTGAGCAACCCCTGACTGCAGGGGGGGGGGGGGGCTGTCGATATTTGAAAATGCAAAGGTTAATTTGCATAAATTATGAATATGCAAATTTCATCATTTTATTTTCTTTAATATGTATTATATTGTTTTTTTTATTTCTTATTATATCTCGAGGGCTTAAAACCAGAACTGTCTATGTCCATTTTTTGTGAAATTGAGTTTAGTCTACCAAAGTACTGTATATTCATTTCAGTTTGTGTGCCAGAACTGTCTATTCCCATGTATGTCCATTAGCCATTTTACTTTTCATGTCCAGACTGTTTCAAGTACTTTCATGCATTCATTAAGAATTGCGCAGTACTTGCAGTTTTCTACTAACTAAGCAGATTAGATTCCCTATGCAGCTTCCACTGATTGTGGCCAAGCAACACCATATCATTGCCCGGAAAAAACGTAATGATGAATAAAAAAGACCAATGTGCAACATGTACGAAGTATGACCAGTTGTCGGGAGAACAGAAGGAGAATTTCATGGAAACCCATCTCGTGCGAAAAACAGAGGCTTAAGGTTCCAAAGCAGTACCCTTGCATCGTGTAAGACAGGAAATCATTGTGAATAAGATGGAGCGCAAAAGAGGACAAGCTTACAACAAGAAATATGCTGATGACTTTGACTTGACTTTGACTTCATTGCATCATCAGGAAAGAGCAAACATCATGCAACTTGCAAGGTATGTCGCCGAGATTTGTCAATTTTGCATGGCGGTTGTAATGACATTGTTGTTCATTGCAAAACAAAGCAACACATCACTGCTTTCCAGTCTGAATTGTCAGCATGAGAAATAACATCATGGATGTCAACCTCCAAGGATTTTAATATAACTAGAGCTGAGTGCTTATTTACATCATTTTATTTGGAGCACAATATTTCTCTATCAGCTGCAAGTCACAGACAATGCATCAGTCATGACTGGTGTACACAAGGAAATCGGGGCATGCCTCGGAAAGTGTCAGCCAAACCACAATGTGCTTGGTTGCCCCAATCATCTAATTGATCTTGCTGCCACAGCTGTGTCATCTGCATTACCATAAACATATTCAATTGACTCGCTCCTTATTGATGTGTTCTACTTTCTGGAAGCCAGCGTAAACAGGAAATTGAATCTCAAAAAGTGCAGGCAATTCTGAAACATGCTTGTACGAGATGGCTGAGCTATGGGCCAATGCTTGCCAAGATTTATCCAGCAATGGCAAGCTCTAGTCCTCTTTTTTGAAGGAGAAGTGTCAGCCCAGCAGAAGACGCCTACTCAACAGATAAAGTAGAAGAAGCCTACTCAACAGACCAAGGCTACCAAGAATAGTGTCCAGACTTCACTTGTTCCAAAGAAGCCAACCCCAGCTGTGAAAAATAAACCTGCTCAGGGATCTCAACTAAAGGTAAGGCTAGAAAATGTATTACTATACAAGGCATCTACTCCTTTTCATTCCATTTAAATATGGCCATCATTAAAATTACCAGATTTGAATAGATTAACCATAGCAGTAGAGAGCTTTCTTATTGTTTGAATTAATCAGCTTTTACTCCTCAAATTGGCAACAGTTATTATCATTTTACACTCTAAAATAGTTTGAACAAAATAAAAATGGATATTACATGAACCAGGATGGTAATTGCAAAATTTAATTTAATGTGTAATTCAATTTTTTGCTTATAAATAAGTCATTATCAATAGTGTTGCAGGCATCGTATGAAGTTTTTAAACTTGTCTTGTCCTACAGGAAAAGCCTGCTCACCAAACCAAGATGACTGCACAACTCCAAGCATTCTGCATTCCCAAGAAGGTGTCTCCACAGATCCACCACATGTGAGCAAACCTGCCCAGTCTCAGACCCAAGTGAGTACAAAAGTTGATCATATATACAGGGTGACGGTTAAATATGTACCTTTTCATCATTTATTCTTTCTTCTTATTTTTAGTTCATTTGATTGTTAGCTCTTTCTCTTCCAATCATCTTCACTCCGCTGTTCAGTTTACAGATATGAACATTTATTCAATAATGCTAGTCATCCGCCAAGATTTGAAATGTAGTGTACCTTTTTAATTGTAAACAGTGTCAGTAGTCTTGTTTCTTTCTCATATGGTAATCAATAATTTCTCTTCCTCCCAGGTTCAACTTCAAGCACCACAGCCACAACACAGTAGACCATCTTCAAGCTGTACTACTCGGGGAAAAATGACAAGTGAGGGACACTTCGGATACACCTAGCAAGAAGCAGAATACTGGGAAAGTTGTCGGCAAGGCAACAGGCTCAACAGTCCTCAAGGCTGAAACTTCCAGTCATCCCAGTACGATTTCTAGTAAAATGACTGGAAATGAAAAAAACAAGATGTGGAGGAAAGAAAGAAACAAGACAGACAGTAAAGTAATGAAACAAGACAGGAAAGAATTCTGAAGTCATTGTGACTCAAACCCAATATTAGCCATTGCACATTTTCTCAGCCACAGCATCATTGCGTTTGACCAGAAAGTGTCATCTTCCAGACGAGAAGTCCTCTGATACACAATCTGAAAGGAATACTAGAAAGTCTACTGCGTGACTTGTACAGCCACTTGTAGCTCCACAAGCAATCATTGCAGCCACAGACTTGACCCTTCTGGACTACAAGAACAAGGAGAATCTTCGTGAAGAATCTGAAATGGTCATAGAAAGCGCAACAAGAGAAATTGTGAACACTTTAGATGAGTCTGATAGCCATATTAGTTGTATGCAGCAGTGCGTTCATATTACACCAAGGCATGTGACTACATTGTAAGTAAGTTTGCATTCTGCTATTAAAACAGAAAAAAAAGAACATCAATGTCTTCACAATGCATGACTGGGTAAAGCATCTTCCACAAAGCAAGACGTCGGCTTCCATACAAGGTCATAAACATGTGCCATGGAGACTTTTATGATCTGAAGAATGTCTCAAAGCAGATCCTGAAGAACAAACGCCGAGACGAAGGTGGACACATCTTCAACTGGCTACATGTAAAGAGCTTTCAATACAGGAAGGAAAAGCAAGGCACCATCTGCTACAAGTATAACTACTCGGATGACTACAAGAAGATAGATCATCAGTTCCACGTAATCTGGATCTTGTCTACCAAGACAAGCATTGAAAAAAAGCCTAAACCTTAAGAAGAAGGATCTCATCAAGTTGTGCAATAGCCTACCCATTCCTGAAGAGTTCAATGGATGGTATTTGGCACTCCCATTTTGTAAGTTTCTGACATGGACAGGGTCAAAAGGTCATGGCCTCCATTTATGATGGTTGACCAAGATTCATAAGTTAATGGCTTTGAACATAACTACTTTACTTTGTCAGATTTCATGCTTGCAATCAAACTTTCAATTGCATTTTACTCAAAATGGCATATTTGGACATAGACAGTTGTGGTTTTAAGCCCTTGATCTATTGTTTTATTTCTATTGTTTTATTTCTAATGTATTTTTTGTTCTGGAATACATCAAGTTACTTTGAGAAACATATCAAAGCAATTTGATATCAATTCATATCTCCCACTTATACATCTATTTACCTGTTCACATTTCTGCTTGTACATGAATATATGCAATTGTAGCACTTTTTGATGATGTGGGCATACTAATTGCTATGTAACACCTGACGGCTGTATCAAATTTCGACGAAAATGGTATCAAAATGTGCATAAGACTTGAAGAAAAAAATTCAAGAATAACAATTTTAAATTCCAAGCGGTTGCGACGCTATCTCCAAAAATCTGGGGGGAAGGGGGGCTCTTACGCCCCCCTCCCCCCCCCCCACAGTACAGTAAGGAGTAAATGACGTTAGCCATATAATTATACATATGCATTTTTTAAGATGCTTACATATACATGTAAAGTGTTAAAGGGGAAGTCCACCCTGAAAATAAGTTCGTCTTCATAAAAGCAGATAAGAGAGAAAAAAAGTCAATGACATTTTGAGGAAAAATAAAAAATAAGTGAGAAAATTATGAATTTTTGGAGTTGTAATCAGTGAAGCACAAAGTGGAAACTGTGTGACATCACTTGCGAGCTCATATCTCATTTGCTTTGTACAAAAAATGTTCAAAAAAATTAATTTCCTCAGTCGTTGATTAATTGAATACGATAACATTAGCGTTATATTAGCAGTGATCAGTAATAACATCTATCTGAAAGATGAACAAGGGTAATGCTTTTCACCTACTAACAGTAATACTGGTGAAGGTGATAGCAGTAGTAAAGGTAACGGAGACACTGATAATATTTGATATTAGCGGTGACAATGGAAATGTTTGATTTATATGACATTTTTTATCACTACGTGTAGGTATTGAATATCTTCAAAATTTCTACCATTTCAAAAAAACTTGGTTTAGTGAAAACTGGGTCTTGGCGAGTGTCTTTGATATGTTAAGGGAATTGAGGACAAATGATGATGTAATACCGGAGTTGAAAGATGAGTATGAATATGACATAGTGCTCTGTAAGAAGTTGGTGAAGTCATGAGAGTTAACCCAGGAAGCCTTAAAAGGTGCTGCGGGAAAATACAAGAAGTATTAGGATATGAATGCTAGAAACAGGAAATTGAATACCGGAGATCAGGTGTTGATCTTGCTTCCCACTGAGAACAAGTTGTTGCTAAAATGGAAGGGTCCATTCCCTGTGCTGGGGTGAAGTATGACTATGACTACATTGTCGGAGGTGTTCTTAAGACATATCACATTAATCTTCTCAACAAATAATTTTCCAGGCAGAAGGTTAACTTGTCAGTGGCTGGCTGCTTTGATTTGTGTACATAGAATAGGAAAGTGTGTCGAGATTCTGTGGAAGATGTCGAGGATCAGTTGTTTGTATTGAAGGTAAATGTGGGTGCTGGGCTTATATGCAGTACCATTCAGGAGAAGAATTCCTGATTGCTTATGCGAGCAAGAAGTCATTACCACGGGAAGAAAATTACACAACAATTGAAAAAAGTGCTTAGCAATAGTACAAGCAATCAAAAAGTTCAAATATTATTTGTATTGAAGTACACACAGACCACAAACCTTTGGTCTATATTCAAGCGAAAAGGTTTGACATTAAGAGAATCATGAGATGGAGCATGATGCTCCAAGATTACAGGTTTAGGCTTGTCTCGGTGAAGGTTCAGTATAATGTTTAATACAGCAGATTATATGAGCACAATGTAAAATGCAATACACGTGGATTTCTTTTGTCTGTCTACCATTGTAAATTATTGGATGTGTATCACAGTTTAACATATTTTGTTAATGTCATTTGTTGAATACACATTGCATTTACCAGGATTATGTAATGTTGAGATTTATTTTATATTGATCTTGCCAGCCACAAATGTATACCCATCAAAATTTCTATGATAGCACATACAAAATTATTATCCTGAGCATATGTTTTGTAGAAATGCATGAAATCCACTACTGAAGTTTGATATGAAAAAGAAAATATTACAGCAGTATATATGCATTGTAGATTATGCAAGTGCAGGAATATTAATCACTACATTTTGAACAGAAAAAACAAAAAGAGATGATGATTAGACAGCCACCTTATGTATCTAAATATATCAGAGAGGGCTTAATGATGCTGAACACAATGGGTTGTGCTCTTTAATGCCAAATAATTGTTTAATTTTGAGTCAAAGACATTGTCTTCAGGTGATGATGTGATGATGTGAACATTTGATAATCTCTACTTTGTATTAACAGGTTATACACAAACTCTATGGACATTAACGTATAGCCATGTTATAGGTTTTCAACTTTGTGCAAAATATGTAATACATATTTATACATGGATTGTTTTTATGTTAATTATCCCACAGCATCATATTGTTGTGCTATTCTGTTGGCATTGTTTTTAGCAAAGGTTTTATTCAAAGGTGGTGTTTGTAGACTTATAACCATGCTCAAGCTAGCTTTTCCATGATATTAACATTCTGAGGTACAGGTGATATATCATTTAAAAAAGAAAACTCAGATTATTGGAAACATGTTTTTAGTAATTGCATTCAGAATTGCATGTGTAGATTTCAACTCATATACAAGAAAAATTTCATGTTTCTAAGCCTCATGACTTGATAAAAGTAAGAATGTCATATTATTTATTGTACAATATACAATTTGGTTGATTAAACCATAGGTTGAGAACTGAGATTCTTGGGCATACAACTACATGTATATTGACTAGGATTGGTATTTAGTGATATGAGCTATGTTGTGTCATGATCTTCTGATATCATGTAATGGTTGATAAGATGAAGAATATTAAGTTTGACTTTAAAGTTTTGCCTTGATAAAGCTTAAATGATAATTTATGTGCAGTAAAAATTGAAACATTTTGTTCCAAACATTTTCATGAGATATGTAGTTACCAGTGATTTGTGTATGTTGTACTGTTTTATAAGTATTTATCGAGGAATGTGAGGAGGAAGTTCAGTATCTAGGAATTATTTTTGACAAGAATATTTTTGTTCATGGTAAAAGTTGTCATGATGACTTTAAATAAGAAGAATAGATTTTATCGACAAAAAAAGAGGGAGAACGAGAGCCAGAGGCTGGAAAGGGAGAGACAGAGACAGAGGGAGACAGAGCAAGAGAAGAAGAGGGAGGCAGAGCAAGAGAGGGAGAGGGATACAAAGAGAGGGAGAGGGTGAAAAATTAGAAAGAGAGATACAGAAGGTGCAGTACAAGAGAGGGGAAGAAAAACAAAGCAAGAGAGAGGAGAAAGAGAGCGAGATGTGAGTAGATATATATATATATAAAAAAAAAAAAAACAATTCTTTGTCCGTGGGAGAGACATAAACATTGCGTATACATGGGCTGAATAACTGTAAATAACTCATCGTAGATAACATTGTCATTTTAATGCTTTTATAATTCGCCCGGTTAGAGTTATATGTTTGGGTTTTGGGTTAAGGTTAGGGTTGGGTGTTTATTAAAGCATAATTAATACATAAAATGACAATTTTACCTGAGATGAGGGATCCAAAATACTATACATAGACATTACATTTAAAGCTAAAGACCAGTTATGGTCATGCAATTGCATAGTGAAAGAAACGTTGTGAAATCGATCAGAAAAGGTTGATCATCTAGCATAGATGTACTGCAAGGTTCTGGAATCATCAAAATTATAAGAAATTTGGCCAAGTCTTCATAAAGTTAGAAGCACTGTACACAGAAAGATGTGTATGGGACTACACACACGTGCGGGACACGTGCATTTGTATCTCTCAACAGTATATAGATATACTAATTTACCAAATATATCAATTAGTAGGCGGTTTCCCGTCAAAAATGTTATCGTCATGTAATATTCAAAACATATTC